CTTTGTGTTCATTCTGCAGATTCCTTTTATGAGGTATTGGTGAAAAGAATCAAAACATTATGAATTATCTTTTAACCTTGCTAAGTTTCATTTATGACCATACATAATTATATATATTTAAAATATGTTTATAATATATATGACATATGTATAAGTGAATATAAAATTAAATATGGAAAAAGCAAAAGAGTAGCCTTTTTTAACCTTCGTGATTCTTTTATAAATGACAGTAATGACACCAGAATGTTGAAGAAAAGTTTTCATTCCATTGTCTTTATTCTCTGGCAAATATGACTAGTGATAACTGACCATTAGTGCTGAAAACCGGCCCACTATTTTGTCTAATTTGACCCACTTGATAAATTTCGAAAGTGAAAAAAAAAATGCAAACACATCATGTTGGTGATGTTTGGACAAATTATATTTCATTAAATATGAACATTATATTTTTATTAAATATGACCATTTTCTAATATACTAATGTATTGATCTGCAGGAAAACAAAGAAAACTAACGGGCGAAAACATGGACTTACTGTTATTACTAGGTAATTATGGTTTGGCCCACTTCCAAAATGAGTTTGACACCCCGACCTAAGGTGATCTGTTAACAAGTGGGACAAAAAAAATGAAAAACAATCACACCTGGTGTAATCGTAATTGTGAATAAAACGTAATCTCTGTTACAACATGGCTTTACTCCAAATATGCTAATATTCGAGTATTGGCTTGAAGTAAACAATCCCCCGAGCACTGAGTAGTTTAAAATAATTCTTCCACCGTGAACCTGCCGCGATCGGAAAGGATGAAAGCTGAGGAGGCGTTGGTAATGCGTCCTCGGGACTGATCGCCGAGATGCACGCTCAGCAGTTTGGTCGCATATCCTCAGACGAGCTATTATGACTGGGTTTGAGAATACATACAGGACGTCCACTTAATCTCACAGCAGTTCAGATGTTATGTTGTTCAGGACAGAAGCTAACACTTGATCTGAGATCAGTGGTTCTCAGCGGCAGGTCAGTTACGTCGTCTCTCCCCGTCTGTCTCGTCCTCGACTTTGTGAGCAGGTACTGTCCGTTGTCATCGCAGTGAGTTTACAGTAGTGGTGCTGCTGTTTGGACCCTGACCAAAGTCAAAGGAAGGAGTGAGGAAGTGTAAAATGAGAGGATGGATAGGTGAGGAAGAGTGTTGAACAGAGGGATGGTGAGAAACGAGGATTGGGAGGAGATACTGTACTGCATCGACAGATCAGTCCAGTCGTTGTACCATGGCGAAACATTTTGATCTGGTAGATAGAGCTGGTTATCTATTATATATGTACTGTATGTATATGTGTTATATGCAGGTTATCCATATTGTTAATACAAGATATAGAATAAGACTATATGGTTTACATTGATATATTTGTTTCTAAAATTCAATTTATGTATCTTGTTTTTGGTCGTTTGGTCTCTTTTCTCTCTGTCTGTTTTTAACTTCCCCTACTCTCCCTTCTACTCTCCCCTCTACTCTCCCTTCTACTCTCCCTTCTACCCTCCCTTCTACTCTCCATTCTCTACCACAAGGAAAATGGAAAATGATCAGATTTAATGTACATCAGTGGCTAAGATTGTGTTGCTGCTGCTTCCTTGACTAGGTGTGTCGCCTGGGTTTGGACGACAGCGGTGCGACTGAAGGGTCAGCGGTCCAGGGTGGGAGACAATGGAGGAGATTTTGTCAGCGAGAGAAGAGAGGAGTTTAGGTCTTAAATGGACCGAGGGACAAAAGAGGTTTTTTGACAGCTAAACAAGACACAAATAATGGTTGAAGGGGAATTTAAGAAACTGCCCTTTGGGGACACGCAGCTAATTACTGCAGACACTCTAGGTCTGGACTCATCTCCATGGTAACAAGACGGTCAGCCAAACTGGCCGGTACACAGGAAGATGCAGACGAGAAAATCAATGGACAGAGACAAAACAAGGGACAGAAAACATGGTGTTTGCAGCAGTTTTACACCTTTTATTTCATTTATTTCTAAGTTCATTCATGTTTTTTATTAATTAGAAAAAAACAAACAAAACGTATCTAACTTGAACCAGCTTCCGAGACAGGGAGCAACGTGTGTTTATTTAACCAAAAATATTCCACTCACACTTAAGGAAAAACAATTATTTTTAAGAACAAATTAAATCCAGGCTTTTTCAAACATTTCCCCAGTGTGGGATTAATAAAGTTCAACTTAACCTCATCTAAAAGACCTATTTCTCTCTCTCTCTCTCAGAGTTACTGAATATTATGTGAAACCTGTGTGTGTGTTACACTTTGAACGTCAATATGTTTGATAGTAAGAAGTCTCACCAGAGAGAAAGATGGGAAGGAAAGATTAACAGGGGAAAAAAAAGAACCACCTGACAAGATGGGTCATAGTTTTGACCTTGGCTGACCCTGTCGAGGTCTGGCAGGGGGTTGGGGGGGGGAGGTCTTTTCTGTCTTGTTGCTTCTTATGCATCCTTAGGAATGTGGTCACATGTGGCCTGTTTGGACCTGTACTTATCTTGGTGACCACTCACTCTGGACAGACACGAGTCCCTGGTCGTAAGCGGGTCATCATCGTCACTCTGTTTCACTTATTATTCCTTGAAACTATTTCCCCTCCCCTCCCGTCTCTTCCCTGTACCCTCTCTTGGGGGGGGGGTGTCTTGCGTCACATCAGTCATTGCATTTATAGCAAAGCTTTTGAAGCTTAGGACTCCCACCGTGGCCAAATATAGTAAACATGAATCCAGGAGCCGTGAGTGTGTGTGCGTGTGTGTGTGTGGAAGATGGGTGTGTACGCATATGCTCTCCTGAGTAACTGCTCTGGGGCACAAACGTGTTTGTTATTGTTACGTGCACTCCGACTGCAGACAACACCGCCAATTAAAGGGGAGGTTTTTATGTGTTAAGAGCAGGAAGTGTTAACATGTGTGGCTTCACGCTATTGGTTCCACCACTTCTCCCATGTTCTTCCCTGGGGACTCAGCAGTCAGGGCTTTTTTTTTTTTTTTTTTTTTTACTGCCATGGCCAAATGAAAGGTAAACACAGCACACCTTTGATCAGGCTTTACATTTAAGACCCTGACTGGAATTATGCACCAGTGTGTGTGTGTGTGTGCACACGTGCAGGGGAGCTAAGCTCTTCACGATGCTACTGCCTCCTCCTCCTCCTCTTCCTCCTCCTCCTTGTGCTGCTCGTCTGTTGTTGTTAAAGTATGAGTAAAAAAAAAAATCATTCCCTCATCGTTCCCTTCTTCCCTCCATCCCCCCACCCAGCCAGCATGAAAACAAAACAAGGCGTTGTATGAATGAAAGTGGGAGGGGCCGAGTGCCCTAGAAAGGCAGGCAGGCAGATATGGAGATAGATATTGGCGTGGGGCAGGGTGAGGCTGAGGCTGAGGCAGAGGACAGTACGGTCGGTGGAGGAGGGATGGATGAATGAGTGAGTGAGTGAGTGAGCTGACTGGCACATGTTTGGCACAGCAGCCTGTTTGTTTAGCCCAGTGCTAGCGTGAGCAGAATGGGGAATAATGTTGCTGCTGCAGTAGTACTCCCTGCTGCACTGTACGCCAAGACTGTTGTGCAGAGACCAGAGGGAAAACATTAGGGAGTATATGAATCTCAGGAAAAAACACACACACTCTATATATATATATATTTGTTTTTTTGTTTTGTTTTTTTCCTGAGGTCTTGGATAATTCAATGAAAAGCTGATTTACTTGATCCCTTTCCTCTATCTCTGCATCTGCTTCCACCTTAAGTCTGTTGTAATTCACCCAAAGCAGCAGCAGCAGCAGCAGCAGCAGTAGTACTAGCAGTAGTAGATTCTCATTTCCTGGCACTGCCGGCTCCTCACCTGCGTCTGCTCTCCGTCTGCCCCGGCAAGGCCAGGGTTAACTCTGGTAGTCTTTCCTCCCAACATGGAAGAGGCCATTGAATGGCTGCCTCCCCCAGCCAGCAAACACATTGGCTGAATCTGAGGGTGGATCTGGGACTGCAGCGGAATTCTGACATGGATCCGTCGGTTGGATCTGGATTGGGGAGGGTTTATTTTTTCTTCTTTTTTTTTTTTCTTCTCAGTGTTCTCTGCTCTGCTATGCAATGCCGTGGTCAGAGCATGTATGCACACAGCAGTCAGGAGGGGAGGGGAGGGGCTATGCGTTTTTTCCTCTGTAGGTTAGAAGTGAGTGCAGTGTTGAGTTTACAGGCTATAGCTAGAAAAACTCACTTTGAGGGATTGCCCCAGACGGTCCCTCCCTGTAGTATTTGCCTCCTCTGCTTGTAGTTATTTATATGGACCTCAACGTTACATCCTCTGCTATCTCACTGCTTTTTACCCTGGCAGCACGGTGCCACCCTTTTTTTTTTCTAACATGGGAGGAGTCCTAGTGGAATCCTTGGCAGATAGAGCACATGTAGAGCATCCTACTGTGAACACCTTGCAGCTATTTACCAAGGAGAGAAACCGTTTTCAGCAGTGTTTTCTCAAAGTTTAATGGCTTTGTTTGTTTTTTTCCCCCTCATCTTAGTGATTTTTGTGGTGGTTCCTAGTTAAGAGAAACACAAATATTTTAAAAGAGAAGCCGTAGACGCCAGATTGAAACAAATGATGTAAAGTTGGACTTGGTTGTAAAATAAAACACACTCAACTCGATCGTCGTCTATTAAAATGCCTGGCTCTGTGATCAATTGTTGTGCCTGTGTCACAGCGGCGCAGCTGGTTAGCATTAAGCTGTGTGATGTTCAGGGAGTACAGTAGAAAGACGACTCAGCTTTAGCAGCTGGTTTCATCGTGCTGCAACTGTGACCACACATGAAATAATAAATATGTTTCTTCAAATACTGATTTCTGTTTTTAAATGTCACCAGTCAAAGGACAAGGGGCTGAAGGGACCTTGTCTACTTGTTTAAAAGTTAATCTTTCCTAACTTTCATCGTGTAACCACCTTTTAACTCAATCCTTTTTTTTTTGTCTCTCCTCAGTGTGCTTGGACAACTGCAAACACGGTGCCTGTAGCCTCCAGGGTCACTGCTGCCACGACGAGTGCCTGGGCAGCTGCATTGAGCCTGGAAACGCAAGTAGCTGCCTGGCCTGCAGGAACCTCCAGCACGGGGACACCTGCGTAGACAAATGTCCGCCTGGATACTACGTCTTCAAGGGATGGCGCTGTGTCAGCTTCTCCTTCTGTCAGGTAAGGAACAGTGTTCATTTTGTCGACTGGTAATTATTGATAAAGACTCAGGACAGGAAGTTATGTGGTGTGAAATGACGACGATGAAATAATTTGACGCATTAGTCAGTGAAAAACGGGGAGACGACTAGAGAGAATAAAAGAGACAAGTTCTTATTTTTTTTAGATTTTTAAGGAACTCTCAGAGTGTCTCTACCAGTCAGATGTAACATTATTGTTCACCATGTGTTGTTGTTTTTGTTCTTGTCAAATGTAGGACCTTCACAACAAGTGTGTACAGAGTAAGAGGCTGAACGATCACCTGGAGATGAACTGTGTAGAATATGTCATCCATAATGGAGCCTGCATTCCAGAGTGTCCCTCAGGATACACTATTATGAACTCCACCATGTATGTCTGCCTCTAACACACACACTCACACACACACACACACACACACACTCAAATACAAATGTGATGCCACCATCAACAGTGCCATGGTAATGCTGGTAGGGCAATCATTAAAGGATGAGAAGTGAATGAGGCCCTAACCCATAACATATTATTTATTTACTGCAAATATGTTTTCTTTTTTTCGTCAGTGCATGAGAGGCAAAGCAATGAAATCCTATTCTGCTAGGTGGCAGTAAATATATAATCAGAGCTGTTGAAGAAGATCTTTGTGATTGTGTTTCTTTCTTCAATTCCTGCCAGTATATCAGCGTTGTCTTCAACTAAACAGGCTGAGATTTTAGTCAGTGATGAGGTCATTTAAACCAGAAGATTATTATATTTCATTACATATACTTTTTGTGAGATTTTTGTCTGCTGGTGTGACGTGGGTTTTTTTGTTTTGTTTTTGTTGGTGATATATATGTGACGTGGCTTGGGAAACACCGTGTTAGAGAACATGGTGAAAGCATGTAGTAATGAGCACCTGCTGGACTGTGAGTCACTGTGTGGACAGTAATCATTTCTGCTACAATGGTGACAACACCAGGAGACCTGATCCTTTCACGACCTTGGGAGGAGTTTGCCACCCTCCCATCTTCCCTTTTTTTATTTTTTGTATGCTGTCGATTGTTTGGTATCAGATAGTCACACTCCTACTATCAGGTCATCTCTATACTAAAACGATGTCTATTTTGGAACGCCCGATGACTCCAGTGAGTGAAAAGAAATATATTGAAAGATTTTATTTGTTGCCAGGTGTTTTTAACACTTTCATGTTGCATTACATTAGGGATGATATAATTTGAGATGGTGTTGACGGATGTCTTGTTTGATTTTTGAACGTCTTAAATTTGGCCTCCAGAAAAAGTCAGACGGACATTCCTGGTCTTTTCATTAAGTTGCTTCAGTCGTTGAGGAGAACATGTATTTATTTTAATGCCAACCGTGTATTTCTAGACCAGTCGTGTTTGCATGCTTTTAAAACCAAATCCCACACTTTCACCGCTGGGCTTAAAAATATTACCCAGTGGAAAAATGATGTATGAACGTCTCCTAATGCACCTTTATGTCTGTTATTCAGGCGATCAAATGCCCGTGAATGATGTTTTCATGAGCGTGTTTGTTTTAGATAAAGGTGGGAGAAGGCACAGAGAGGTGTTTTTTTTTTCCCCCAGAGTTTATCCTGGATTGAGAGCAGTTTGTGTGCTGAAAAGGTGTCTGGGAACCTTGGATCCATGTGTGTCCTAAAGATTGATGGTGTTTTTACGTCTGTGGTTAACTCTTTGGTTGCTTTTATACAAGTTTATAAACAATAAGGGTAAAATGTGAGTCTAATACAGATGAAGACAGGGCTTTAAAAACAGAGAGTGATGTCTGCAGTTAGTTAGCAAACAATGCTTTTAACCATTAAAATAATAACTAAATCCATTTGCATGCACTTAGACGTGCCTCCTTAATCTCAGGCTTAACGCTCATTAGAGTTTTGTAACATTAGTTCATCAAAAACATGTAATTGATAATGAAACTTTTTTTTTCTCAGCACCAGCATGCAGGTTATATAGTTGGAATTTGAAAAAGAGTTTTAATGTAATTTAAAAAATCCTTAAATGTCCCTTTAAAAAGACATTTTTTTAAATACAAGAACATTTGGTTAAAGCACAGATAACACTTCCTGTACGTGAACAAGTTGGTGGTTCTCAGTTTTGGTGCTCGATCACTGACATCACAGACATCGCAGTTGAGAACGGAACAGAAAAGAACCTAAACTCATCTTCTAATCTTCTACACATAAAGGTCGCACACATATCACCTCTTCAGTATTAATACAAAAGCTGGTCAGATGTATGACTTTGTGTGTGTATGTGTGTGTTTGTGTATGAGTGTACGTGTCCGCCTGCGTGTGTGTACTTTGGTTATACAAGCATCATCGCGGTGGCTCGGCTACACCCAGACGCACTAACATGCAAATAGTCAGGCAGACGACACGCATCATATAAATGTTCATACACACACACACACACACACACACACTCATGAGAAATGAAAAAAGACGAGATGAAAGCATTGGAGAATGACTCATATCATGGCGTTTAATTTGACCCCTGTGACCTTCCTGATGTCAAAATGAAATATAGTCTTAATTGGAATCTACTTATTTATTTACATTTAGTAATATATATATAGTTATGAAGTAATATTTATAATTAAAATGTATGAAACCTGGTTCATGTAAATTATGAAGTAATATTTATAACTAAAATGTATGAAACCTGGTTCATGTAAATGTGAAAAAAAAAACCCATATCTTTATTAAACCATGACATTGTGTAGATATTACGAGGGGAAATTCCATGACATTCCTTTTTAAAATGTTCAAATATTTATGTCCGTCATCAGACAGTTAGCTGTTGATACTGTAGGTGTTTAACATTTGTGCTCTGTGTGTGTGTGTGTGCGCGTGAGAGTGAGTGAAAAAAAAAAGTATGTTTGCCGAGCATCGGCTGCGTCGTCTGTTGCAAATGGTTCTTTCAGACTCTGAATCCTGAGTCACGGAGTTCAGGCGCACGGATAAACACTGTCGCTTTAAGAGCCACCGGTGGGCCCAGCCCGTCTGCCTGTATGTCTGTGTTTTTCAGTACAACGGCCCAAAACATTCTCTCTTTCTGCAGTGCAACTAGAGCGTTACTTTTCAGAAGCTGAATATACAATTTTCCATGTGGAGGAAGAGAGACAGAGAGAGAGAGAGAGAGAGAGAGTGGGAGCCTCTCTGAATCCCGACCTTGTTGTTTTGGTGAAATTTTAACCGTCTATATCCACTGCTTCAGAAGTCGTAAAGTGAAAACAATGATTTGGCCGTGGTTGAAGTTAATTATTGAGAGCAGCAGAATATGACGACTTCACAGAGTCCAGAGTGTAATGGATTATTTAGCGAATGAAATGAGCTAAATCTTCTGTACCTTTTCTCCCCCCGTATCGCCCCACACACACACACACACACACACACACATATATATATATATATATAAATATTGTGTAGCTGTGGCATCCTGGGCCAGTCGTGGTGAACGGGTGCATACTTCAGATAAGAATGTGCATGTTCTTCCTGGGAAGGTGAACAAAAAAAAAGAAAAAAAGTTGGTCAATATATGCAGTATATAAAACCCTGTGGTTGTGGTAGTACACGTGTTGGCAGAAGTATGTGCTCCGGGAGCACGTTCCGCTTCCTTTATGCCTTTGCCAGTTTCATGTGGTTCAAGATGTCAAGGCTGGGAGGGGAATTAAAGAGAGCAATAATGTTCTTTCAAGAGGTTCTTCAGAGAAATAAAAAAAACAAAAAAAAAACAGTTCTCATTTGTGAATGAAGCGTGACGTTTCTCTGCTCTGTGTGGCATGTGCCCCGGCTGATGGTGAGACAAGGCCGGCTTTTTGAGAATGAATCCTATGAAAGGGCGTGTGTTTGTGACAGAGAGGGTGAGAGAGACGGACAGAATCACAGGGAGAGAGAGAGAGGGGACGTGCGAAAGTACATGACTGCTGGATTCATGAAACCAAGTCGGTGAGAACGAGAGAAACTGTGCGTGTGCATAAGTCATTTGCACGAGGCACTAATGAAAACTGTTCTAATAATGAACAGAAAATGGTTTGACGTCATATTCAGGACTGATTGATTTATGTTTATTATTCATGATTTCTCATGATCAATTTCAATTTACCCAGAGTTACTCTGTGATTAATCACCCAGTAAAAAACAACATATCATCACAGATCAAGTCTTCTGGTCGGATCACGTCTTCTGGTCAGATCAAGTCTTCTGGTCGGATCAAGTCTTCTGGTCAGATCAAGTCTGTCTTCTGGTCAGATCACGTCTTTTGGTCGGATCACGTCTTCTGGTCGGATCAAGTCTTCTGGTCAGATCACGTCTTTTGGCCAGATCAAGTCTTCTGGTCGGATCAAGTCTTCTGGTCAGATCAAGTCTTCTGGTCAGTGGATCACGTCTTCTGGTCGGATCACGTCTTCTGGTCAGATCAAGTCTTCTGGTCAGATCAAGTCTCCTGGTCAGATCATGTCTTCTGGACAGATCCAGTCTTGTTTGAATCTGTCATTTCTTTGCGCTCTGGGCCCACGCCGCACCAGCACGCCGCGGTGCA